ATTACACAAAGGTACCAATTTTCTTTGTCTCCTCCGAATTCACCGCACACCAAACACACCTCATTTCCTAATGTTAGATCTACATCATCTAATTCATCATCACAAAGCTTACTCTCATCATAACTTTAAGACTCATAATCATCAGAATGTAAGTTTCTAACTCCAGTTTTCTTGCTTATAGGTGATTCTTTGCTTTAGTAGCCAGTTTTCCTACGGTTCATGTCGTTCTTTTACTGGTTTGAATTTTTTCTAACCTCTTCAGCATTTTTTAAGATTTCTCTTTTCTTGTTTGATTTCTGAGTTTTTAATGGTTTGGAAGTAAACATTTCTGAGTGTTGTTTTGCACGTGATTTGGAACTTTACAATTTTGGAAGAAAGAGGCGCTATCTTGTCAATAGGTACACTAGACTAAGTTTTAACATTTCCTGACGTTCCAGGCTGGGGTTCAGCTCGCTGATTTGATTTCAATTTGGCATTATTAGATCGAGTTTTGTGCATAGGTTCATCACATCTCGATAGTTCTGTATTGTTTGTGGTATTATTCTGTGCTTAATTTCAAAATTTTACAGTCGACTGCCCAAGAGCACTGTCATCGCTGATATCGTCAGTTTCATTTAAGTTCATTACAATGTGTATATCTAAAAATTCAGTGTGATCTCCTAAGCTGAAATCATCTTCAGAGAATTTATTAGGATCTATCTACCATATTCCAGCAGCACCGAACCCATATATTTCTTTCTCCATCGTGGAAACTCTCAGATATGCTCTGTTAAAAATGAAAGCAATTCTTAGGGGTCAAAAAAACTTAGATTAAGAGGTTGAAGCCTGTGTGAGGTATAAGGGGGAAGTGAAATCATAACAATTTCGTATGATCTGCAGTAAGTAGAAATCTCGAAAGAAATCTCACTCCCATAGTTATCCAATATGAGAACCACTGGATCTTCTTTCGATACCATTATATGCAGACAAAAATTTTTTATCCACTCGAAAAATAACTCTTCATTTATCCAACCGTTGTTTGAATATCTGTATATTTCTCCAATTGGGCCTCCTCTCATTAATTGTTGATTCATACGTATTCGAGGGAATATGAACATATTACGGATCCTACTTGTTTTGGTCATTTTGGTGCCAAAATTTTTGATGGTTTCTGAACCGTAGAAATGTCCGTTTGAACTACATTAAAAATTCGACTCTCAGGAAATTTGAACTTTTCCATAACTATAAGCAGATTGCTAAAAATCGTTCAACTTCATCTTTATTGAATGCAGAAATGCGATTTTGACTTATATCTTTGGGTTTTTTAACACTAATGTCTATGTTTTCATTATGGTTTTTCTGTTCAGGCGAAGAATAGTTTGTCCACGCGTGCATTGTTGTTCGTTAGACAAAGCACAGACTAAAAATTACTGCGTATTATTGACCCTACATGATGCAATAGAAAAATATGGCACAATAAAAATGCTAGTTCAAACTTTCGTCCAATCATTGCAGTCTTTATTATTAGCTCTAGACGATTAATTATATTGCACAATTCGCAGTATAATTGATCGTCTAGAGGGCGCCTAAACCGACACTACGAATGCAGTCATATTACAAACATGTGATCATCTGGCGCTGCATGAGAACCTTCACATTTTACTCTTCTTCAACTAGTCTTTGAGTAAAGTGTCTTTTATCTTTCCTATCAGCCTCTCTTGGCCAACTCTTGTTTTTCTGACCCCGATTGGCTATTAGGTTTCCGAGGGCGGACGGGTCACTATTTTCTTTCCTTACTCTAAACTATTTTCTACTACGCAGAAGGAAGTGGGGCCCCACTGCGTTACTTTGCCCCAAGAACTATCATGAAGATGACCTCTAAACATATCAGTATGCCGAGCGATCCAACTAGCAATTGGCGCCAATCAGCATCCGGGGCTGATGGTGTGAAATGGGCTACCGGCCATGATGTTGTGAGAAACCAGGCACGCCATGGAAACTCTGAGTCTGGAATAAACATAAAAATATGGAGCACCCTTAAAATCGGTACGTGGAATGTTCGAGGATTGCTGGAACCCGGAAAATTGGATGTAGTGGAAAACGAGATCCACAATTATGCCATTGTAGGTCTATCTGAAACCCACTGGAAGGATAAAGGACATTTTACGTCAAAAAATGGCAATGATATTTATTTCTCCGGCAATGATAACGAATCTCGGAATGGCGTCGCAGTGATAGTAAATAATGCCTTTAAAACCTCCGTAAAAGAATACATAACCGTCAGCGATCGGATAATTGTTGTCAGAATGAATGCCAGTCCAGTTAATCTTAATGTAGTACAAACATATGCCCCAACAAGCGAAGCTCACGATGAAGAAATCGAAACATTTTATAGTACGTTGGAGCAGACGCTTAGGAAGCTTCCAAATAGAGAAATCACAGCAGTCGTAGGCGATTTCAACGCTAAAATTGGTGTAACTACAGAAGATCATTACTTGCGAGAGACCGTCGGATTATATGGACTTGGCCAAAGAAATGACAGAGGAGAACGCTTGCTACACTTTTGTATAGACAACAACCTGTTTGTTACTAATACAGGCTTTCAACATCACCCAAGACGACTATACACTTGGATATCACCAGGAAATAGATACAGAAATCAGATAGATTTTATACTGGTAAAAACCCGTTGGAGGAGCGCTGTTAAGGATGTTAAGACCTATCCAGGAAAAGATTGTAATAGCGACTATCAATTTTTATCAGCTGAATTCCGCACGAAGTTAAGAAACAGTCCAAAAACAGGAAATACAACAAATAAATGGCATCTAAGATATAACGATCCGTACAAAAAAGCCGCAATGCAAAAGCTATGTGACCTTAAACAATCATTAAATCCAGACGAGTCCTCAAACAGCATATGGACAAAAACAAAATCCATATTGGATAATGCTGCGAAAAATATTAAGATAACGGACTCCACGTGGACTGAAATACAGGAGAGGAAGTGCTTAAAAGCCACAGGACTGAACAGTGAAAGTGATAAAGAGGCCTATAAAGCGCTGAACGGTCAAATAAAACGACTCTGCAAAAAGGACAAGAACACACACTTGAACAAAATCTGCATGGAAATAGAAGGGCATAAAACCAAAACTGAGACTAGAGACATGTTTAAAAAAATAAAGTAGATAACACGTTCCTTTACACCAAACTACCCTGCTATCAAAGATGATAACGGAACTCTACTCACTTCTAAAAAAGATATTTTACACAGATGGAAAGAATACTGTGGACGACTGATGATGGAGGAAAGCACAGACACCCCATCACAACAAGAAGATGCCAGTTTTGCGACGGAACCTGACGTACTCAAAAGTGAAGTTGAAGCAGCAATTATGAGGCAAAAAAGTCAAAAATCTGCCGGTCCAGATAACATACCTATTGAAATGATTTGGGCCCTAGATGACGTTGGAGTGGATATAATACATCAAATTTGTCAAAGAGTGTGGGAGACAGGTAAATGGCCTGAGGACTGGACACAATCACTATATATTCCAATACATAAAAAGGGAGCGAAAGATTTATGTAGCAACTATCGCACAATTGCTCTAATTGCGCATTGCAGTAAGATACTCTTACACATAATTCTCGAGAGGATAAAGCTCTTTTTACTACCTAACATTGCGGAGGAACAAGCAGGTTTCGTCCCAGGACGTGGTACTAGAGAACAAATTTTAAACGTACGGCAGATTGTAGAAAAATCCAGAGAATTCAACATCACAACATATTTGTGCTTCATAGATTATAGTAAAGCTTTTGATTTGGTCAACTGGAGTAAAATGTGGCAGGTTTTGTCTGAAATGGGAGTCCCTAATCATCTGATACTGCTAATTAAAAGCATGTACAATAACAATTATGCCAGAGTTAGAATAAATGGGGAACTAACTGACAGTTTCAGGGTCACAAAGGACGTAAGACAAGGCTGCATACTAAGCCCAATTATATTTAACATCTATGGTGAATGGATAATGCGGAAAGCTACTGAGGACTGGAACGGTGGCATCACCATTGGCGGGAAGAAGATTTGCAACTTGAGATATGCAGATGATACTACTGCTACAACGGATAGAAGACGTAAGCTTAACGATGGGCCTTAAAATAAACAGGGATAAAACGAGAATCATGATAATTGACAGAGCTAACAAAAATCAAAATCATCTGGTTAGGACAAACAATATCGCTGTTGTAGATAAATTTGTGTATCTGGGCTCATTAATAACCAACAAAGGAGGCTGTACTGAAGAAATAAAGCGGCGGTCAGCAATCGCAAAAAGCGCTATGGCAAAATTAACAAAAATTTGGAAAAGCCATGAAATTACTACCGATACAAAAATGAGACTAGTAAGAAGTCTAGTTTTCCAGTTTTTACTTATGCATCGGAATGCTGGACCCTTACTGAGAAAGACAAAAAGAATATAGATGTATTTGAGATGTACTGCTGGAGACGAATGCTGAGAATACCATGGGTGGCCCGAAGAACAAATGAATCCATACTGGTCCAGCTAAACATAAAGAAATGACTAAGAACACAAATAACAGAACAGATAATAAGCTATTTTGGACATGTGCTTCGAAGAAATGGTCTTGAAAAACTTACCATCCAGGGAAAAGTAGAAGGCAAAAGAAGTAGAGGTAGATCTCCTACACGATACACGGACCAAATTGTTGCTACCATTGGCGCTCCATTGTCAGAATGTGCTAGATTGGCAGAAGATAGAAAAACGTGGAGGAACATTGGAAAAATTACCTAACAGCTTCATGATATCACGATACCTGCATCAGGTTAACGACTAAGAAGAAGAAGATCATCTAGAAAATACGAGAATGCGCGCTGTGTTGAATGTTGATAAAATTATGCCGTATTGTCAAGATATTGACGCGCAGAATTTCCCTTTGCGCGGAATTTCCCCAGTCTCCCCTACGCGCCTTTTTTTATTGTAAGTACATTTAAAATAAATTCTTACTTGAAGGTAAAATTTCTGCCTTGATAACGGGTATTTCCACTTTCTTTCTACTAAGACTAATGGTTGCATCAATTGTGAAAAGTATAATTGGTCCCAGTAGGAAGTAATACAAGTATGGAGGCTATAACAAAGAAACATTTTACAAACGAATAATATATTAATACAATAAAATTACCTGAATCAACCTTCCAGATCCGTGCAAAACTAAAAATATGAAAAAGAATGGGTACAAACTGTGAGCATACCAAAACCAGTTGTAAATTTTTCTTCTGATAATAGGCAGAGCGAAAGAATACATCACTACCCATATTAGTGTTAAGATAACTCCAGTAAAGCCAGTCATTGTCTGCCAACACCAATAATGGAATTTGGGAAGTTCATGGGTCCTGAAAATTAGTCAGTAAATTTTAAGTTACATAAACAGAAAAAAAATGCAAAATTGTGTTAGATATAAAATATGAAAAAAAAATAAGAAAAAGTACATATATCGGGAAAGCCTATTGATATCTTTATAATATATATTATGAAACTAAAAAATCACTCTGTATATTTTTGCTCTTCTTAGCCTTCCATCCTCTATTTTTAAATATAGGCCTCTCCCACTCCTTCTATCTATCTCTATCTTGAGCGACATACTTCCAAATTGTTGGCTATTTTTTATTAGATGAGTAAAGACATCTATACAGTATTAGATGTATTATATTATAAGAAAAGATTTGTATATATTAAATAGAGGCACCGAATCTTTCTTTATTAATGTTCGTACCCAAACAGTCATAGATATCACGCTAGCAACAGCTAAAATATCGAACAAAATTCAAAACTGGCAGGTATCGCAGGACATCACTATGTCTGACCACCGCTGGCTAACCTATATTAGTCTGCCTTATCATAACAGACGACCCTAGGAGGACAGATCTAGAACTCTACCACCGACTCTTAGAAGATGCTCTGCGGAATAAAAAGGCTTCAACTCCAGGAACTAATACAGGATTGGAAAGGTATACGGTATCTACCCAAAACAAAATAAGCTATACTTATAAAAAATCCTGTCCAATAAGGATGGTCCCGGAAAGTCTTTTGCAAAAACCAACTCTTGGTAGTGCACTGAACTGGAACACCTTAGAAAGATAGCGAGAACAGCTTATAATAGAGCAGATACGGGATAGATTTGGCAATCGTTAAATCAGCAGTTGCCAGATTACAACAGATGTTTGCAATTAATTTCAAAAGAGACAAATCTCTACTCGTTACTGCTTCATATAAATTAAACATTGCAGAATTCATAAAATACATAGTATATTCAAAATGTACTTTTTAAAAGCTGTATCTCTTTATATTTGAAGCATACAATATACGCATTATAAAACATGCCAACACTAGCAAGCCGAAATATTTTTGACATTTGCGGCTATATTCAGCTTGTACTTTCAGTAAACTCAACCATTTTGACGTGTGTTAGGCTACTGGCAAAATTACATCAATAAACGAATTTGAATTTGAATTACCTGTTGATGTTAAAAGGAGTTTTTCAAGTTATAAAAATATTTTGGAAAATAATTTGGAAAAACACATTGCAGTTAATTATATTGCTACTATAATAAATATTATGGCGTATAGAACTGTAAATATATTATGACTAATTCTTTTCTATTTCTAGTAACTTCGGCGCTCAGACCTGTCTACCTGCCAGCAGAAATTACTAGACCCTTCGAGACCAGTCCATGAGTCACCTAATGGATGGAAGGTCATCGATGCATCGCCAGACCCTTCTAGATAATGGCGTTTTATATATAATCACGGGGATTTTTATTGAGGAGTTAGTCAGAAGAAAATATCGCGATCGGGTATTTTAAATGTAACGCTCGCATATATAAATTATTGTAAGATAAATTAATATAAATAAAATTTAAATAAATTAAAAAGTAAGTGTTATAAATATTGCACCTTTAGTAAATAAAAATAAGAACAATAAATTAGAATTAATAAAAACATTATAATATTGCAGAAGATATATGTAGTTATATTGTACCTACTTCCCTATTCATATCGGTTTTTGTAAAAAAGGTGAATACACCTATAAGTATTTAAAAAATTATGTTTTTATTTGAAAGATAATATTTATAAAACCCACTAAAATAGAACGGAAATATTTGGTTTTTCAAAATGCTCATTTTTTGAATTTTTGTGCATATCTTGAGCATATTTCGTAATTTTTACTGCATATGTATGCGCATATTTCATCAAAAGTGATCGCATATAAATCCGCTTCCTAATAATGATGTACTTATTTTCTATTCTTTTTAATTTTTCTGATAAGCCCTTTAACAACATTTAAAACAACCAATACACTCAGATATATGCTTTCCAAAACCAAATCTAACAACACAGATTAGAGATAAAAAAAACTGAATCTATAAAATACCCTGTAAACGAAACAATTTCTATGTGCGAGAAACCGCAAGATTACTACGTGTCAGGATAAACGAGCTTGAAACATACATCAAAAATATGTGACAATAATTATGAAAAATGGAAAAATCAAAAAGCAGCCCTCTTCTTACTCAATGAAAAAAAAATGTATAACAAACCCATCAGCAGAATGTAGCAAGCTTAGGTTGCCAACACTGAAAGAAGAACTCAACAACAAGAATAATATACCAACAATAGTGCATTAAGAGACTCTGGGACACATCGTCTTCAATCATACACAATACATATGCAACACACAATACACATACACAATAAAAGAACACTTTCACACACACAAACGCTCATAGCAAATATAATAATGCAGAACACTTAAAATAATCAGAATTTGATGTTCTATACAAAAGTGTGTGAATTTTCAATTTTGTGAAATGACACAATCTCATTAACACCTTTGGCAGTTATATACTCTTTTTAACAAAATTCTTAAACAACCTTTTTTGAGAACGATTCCCGTAGTATAAATCAAAACGTCAAATTTTTTAAGTTAAAAATGTAATTATCATTATAACCAATTGTGGCTTAATCCCATATAAACACAATATTTAATATAGTTTACTAATATAATATAAGTCTCTTTATTTAATACTTACGCATGAAAATAATTTCTAAACAAACATGTTAAGTCATCAGCCGTTTGGGTTGAAATGTGATAAAAGTTAAACGCATGTCCTATGATGTGTAGAACTAAAAATAATAAATAAGATTGTTAAGTTTGATACAAAATTTATTTCACTCATTTGTTTCTCTTCTGAAATGGGTGCCTTTCTAGATCTACGTTACAGCTCACATTAGCTTTCCATAGTGTTTTAGAATAAAAAAAACTTCTAACATTATCTAAATTATGATCGTGAAAATTTAAGTGGACTAACACTCAAGTACATAGAGAAAAAAAAAATGAATACTGACAAATTGTGCGGTGCTTAATGTCCATGTCTCTTCAGAAATTACAAAAAACTTGTCACTGCTCTTTTTTCTAACCACTACAGGTTGTTCTTTACTTTTCTTTTTTTGCCTAATCATTTTATTATTTATTTATTTGGCTTTGTCACTTTTAGTCACAAGCTAGTCTGATTACTGCCAAGAGCAACATGTAAGGTAATATGTACTGTAATGCAAAAAAACCTGCATGGCAGTTACATCTACAATTAACTCTCAGGAATGCTCTACTGGAGGCACTTGGACTTACCTACTTTAACAGGTGAAGTGCCACCATATTGAAAATTTTAATGTCTTAATTGGCAGGTTTTTTAAAAGTACTTATATTACTTTCTTTAACTTTCAAATCAAAATCTAACACTCTACAATGCGAATTTTGGTTAAAATTTCATTTTTCAAAATGTGAGTCCACGTTGAGTTTCGCGGTCACCAGCAAGATTTTTATCACAAAATGCCTATGAGAGTCCAACGTGGCATTACTCCTTAACATATCTATTCCTATTGATAACGAGTCGGAAAATATAGCAAGTGAAGGCGCCGTCACCATGGGTTACCTTTTTCTTGTCAGTACTTGATTAGAGCGCTACATTGCAGTCGTACGAGAAAGAGCAACAAAAACTTGAAAAATATTGACAAGACATTCTATCAGATGAAGAATCGGATGAGTTTGGCGACACGTATCTTTCGGACAAGTACCATTTTGAATTCTACGAATATTTTGTTGACAATGGTCTTTTGTCCATGATGGTAGATATCTAATTTATTTTGTTTAACTGATTTTTATTTATTTATTTTTCATTTTTAGGTCGAAGAAACAAATCGTTATGCCCTGCAGTGTTAGGGAAAAAATCAGAAAAAAGCACACGTATTACCGCGTGGCACAACACTGATGTCACCGAAATAAAGCGATTCCTGAGTATAGTTATTTGGATGGGATTATGTCATTTTCCATCTTTTCATTCGTACTGGTCAAAGAATAATCTTTATGTGAATAATAAGTTTTCAGTTATTGCAAAAAACGCTGAATTTCAACGATAAACTCAGTAACAACAGATGACCGTTTGCAGAAGATCGTTCCCTTGGTTAGTAGACTGAAGGATAAATTCAAGGCTGCCATCTTTTTAAGGGAAAACCTGTGCATTCGCATAACTTTAGTGCCTTTTTAAGGGCGACTATAATTCAAACAGTAAATTGCCAATAAGTGGCACAAATTTGGGATAAAATTATTCAAACTTTGTTTGGAAGGTGATTATAGCTGCGATTTTAACGTATATTGTGGAAAAGAACATGCCGAAGGTAGCACTGTATCAACAAATGTAGTGATGAAACTTATGGATGGACTACTTGACAACGGACGAACACTTGCGATTAATAACTGCTACAGTTCCGTCACACTTGCACATGAACTCCTACACCGAAAAACTTTTATGATTGGTGCGCTACATGCAAACCGCAAATATAATTTCAAAACGTCATTTCCAAAAAATTAAAAGTATGCGAACATGTAGCTAAACAAAGTAATTCGGGCATCGTTGTTTAGAAGTGGAGAGACAAGCGAGATGTGCTGATGATTAGCACCAAATTCGCTGACGATTGAACCAAATGCTGACGCTGACATTTGTACCAAATTCGCTGATGGTGATGTTGTAAAGCCAAATACTGTCATCAAATATAACAAATACAAAAAAAAGCTTCATTGATATATCAGATCAAATGAAAAGGCTATAAGTCGCCATTACGTAAAGGAATAAAATGGTACATAAAATTATCAATGCAGCTCTTGACTGGCACAGCACTTATAAATGCCTATGTCGTGCATCAAAGCATTGCCAATGAAAGCATGACGATTACCAAATTCAAGGAAGAGGTACTACTTTAAATTTCCACTTTACTTTACTACTTTACCTACCTACTTTAATATTAGGTCTTATATCTATAATGGGAGTTATGTAGTTAGGGATCCTCATTTCGTCCATACTCGGGGGACCAAAATGGACACGATTAAAAACTCATCTCCAAAAGAGGGTATAGCGGAGAAACTTAACGAACCTCAGAAATGCATATCCGCAGCTGAATGAAAAAAGCTCAGGAACATGAGAAAGCTAAATGTTGATACTAGCAATGCCATAATATTATGAGAACGGTCAACTAAATTATTGTGGAAGAACTGTTGCTACATAGCATATCAGAGATACTCCAGACGGTAAAATCACAAAAAATAGCAGAAATGCAACTTCCTCTCTAAAATATTGTGGTAGTGGAAATATAAAACTGCTCTACTGGAAATTTTACAGTTGGACGAACATAAATTTACATATATATTGGGGACAGTAATGAACCAAAGCCTGCCACAACTACTTCCATACAGGAGGCAAAGGTAAAATTCACATAGATGGAAGAAATGTAGTAAAAGCAATAAGCTAGAGAATGACAGGACAGGAATGACAGCTAAGGAAGACAGGACTTGCGAGTGAAGTTTAATGAAGATGAAAAGTATGGTACAAAGTTTTCCTATAAGACACCAACAGTGTCTAGTAAAAAATATGCTAGGAATGATAATTTATTATAGAAAATAAATACGGCAAAATGAAAAACAGGATATTCAGATTTTTTTAAAGAGAAAGGTTTAGAGAAATTATTTAAAACATCCATATTGATATAATCAATCTTGTCAATTTCAATCAATCAATTTTGTACATATTGTCAGATGTTTTCTCAATTACATCGATGAAAGTGATATTCTACGCTGCCTCTAATGCTATTATTGTCATAATCAATCGATGATAATAACTAAAGTATGTTACTAATATTCTATACGGTATAGGTCAGGTAGTCGAAGTGAAGTGGCGGAGAGAGTCGAATAGTTATTATAAGTGAGTGCATGACATGCTTAGCGTTACCGCTGTACCAGTCTGTACGTCAGTCTGTAAGTACGCCGGTCGCCGCATTTGATGTTTCACATAAAAAAAAATACAACTGCGTAACCAATGGGTGCGCAACGGGTGACAAGTATGGCACCTAATGAGAAGGTCTAGACTCTTTAAGCACCATTGATAATGATGACCTTTCTGATAATGACATTTTGATTAGAAAATAGATTTTGAAATAAATTATACCTGTAAATACGAATGCCCAATATGCGATATATTTGTGTATATCCAAAGTAGCATCGAAAGGAAAATACTGATTAGCGACAGTGTCTCTTAAGAATGTGATAGTATTTCTGCACATCGTTACCAATAGTGAAGAGTATGTAAACATCATAGCAGATGCAGCTCCTCTTGTAACTGTAACACCATATCCTGCTATTCGTCTTAATCCTGAATGTTCTCGTTCTACAGAATAATCTAAAACACAATTAAAAAGTGACTAGTAAGTAATTTACAATATTGCGTAATATAGACTTACAGTATGCTCGTTCGGCAAATACACCAAACAAGACCAAAGTATAGAGGCTCATCCAAAATATTTCTTTTGATTTTAATTCGATAAATTTGAGAGCTATAGTATATTTATGTTCTTGAACTGGATGAGTTTTTATAACGACTTCTTGATCATCATCTATCATCTTAGCACTATTTCTTGATTCATCAAAAGAACCTCCTCCCTTAAATCTGGCTTCTATTTCTTGCTTGCTTCTACAGATATAAACGATTTTATGGAAATTATATGCATTCAAGAAGAATTATTAACACTTATGCTAACGGAAATCATACTTACTCATAAATATTCTCGATTGTGTCCTTAGCCTTAGCTAAATACGACTGATCAGCCTCTTTGATACCTTTGAAACCCAATCTGGCTGTGTTCAGTTTCTTTATGTCGTTTCCAATCATTTTCTTGAAATCTTCAAATGTTAACTTTTGCTTATGCTCTGCTCCTGCATTTTTCAACATAGAGCTAACAGTTTTCTGAATATCTTTGTCATCTACTTTGCCTCCGCAAGTTTCCAAGAAAGAACTGCAATTTTAAAAATAAAATGAGTGGAGGCATTAGACGGAAAGTATTTGTCACGAAATATAGAACTAATTAAAATGTTTGTATTATATAACTAGTTTTTCTGTTTGTTGTAAAATTAATAAAAGAATTAAACAGTGATTCATATAAGAAAGCCAAAAAAGTTGATACATTTATAGGCAACCTAAACTTATATTTATTGGAACTAAAGTTATAATGAAACTAAAAACTCAACAACAACAAACTATTGGATCTGATTTGCTCTAGTTCTCTCTGTAAATTTTTCAGACACATTCATCCTTTAACTAGTGAGTGCGATCATCATCCCATATTAACCTTACATGTAACAATTGAACCGACAATGCAAGTATGCCAAATCGAAGGCATTAGCCGTATTAAGAGCAAATTTCTCATTAAGCTCCTTCAGAAAAATTGACGTTGTTACAGTCCAATAAACACACGCTGCAGATGACAGTTAAATTAACAAGAAAGGACAAATACCTGGCTGTACTCTAATAGCAGCCATAAACCACGCACAATGCCGGATTGTGACCTACTGTAGACAGGATATTAAGAGTGTGGCATTAGTCCACTTACATTCCTCCAAAGATAACATATAAACATATACAAACCATCAGATGCAAAGTGGTCAAATAGCACACTACCTATTTTTGAATACCCGATCATTTACACTGCAGAATTCAACAGCCCTTACACTCTTTGGCGATACATTGAGTGCAACAAGCAAGGTGAACAATTGCAATAATGGGCTCAAATCGCACACATAAGACTAGTACAACTTTCCACTCAGCAAGATCGAATAAAGGACGTGACTTTAGGTGAAGTGCTAAACAACTTCCCACAGTCACAATACCGCCCAATAATCAACACCGTAGGCACGATAATTCCCATAATTAATATTGTAGCATATTTTTTTTTTTTTTTTTTTTTTTTTTTTTTTTTTTTTTATTGGCATAGACTTTTAGTCATTCAGCCAGACTCAACATGGTAAAAAAAAAGTTGTCTGAGTTTATATTAATAAATATACAAAACAAAGAACAGGTAAACAGGGTCACTCTCTTCTCGCCTAGGGGCCCATCAAGGCATTTTTTTTTAAGACATACAACACTAGGCCACGGTAAGAGGGGAATTTGACAATTGGGTAAGAAACAAAGGTTACTTTATTAACTAATGCATAATTATTTACATGGTTATTTTACTATCCTTTAAAAACATAACTAAGGAATCATACACTGGTCTCGAGTCTAGTGATAATAAGTACTGAAGGTTCCAAGGGGCTAATATATTGTATTTATGTAAGTTATTTATTAATCTTGCTGAAATTATAGTATTTCTGGGGCAACTGAAAAATATATGATCTAGGTTTCCTTCTTCTGTACAAAATTCACATCGATCATTATCTAAAACATTGAGTTTAAATAAATGTTTGGGGTAACAAGCATGTCCAAATCTCAGTCTAATGATCGAGGTAACATATTTTCTAGGTACATTAAAAGACTTATACCAAGGTGTTTTAGGAATATCTGTTTGAAGAGAAGTGTATCTATTTGGGCTAACAATGGAATATTCCTTCCATATATTATCCCACCTTTGATATAATCTTATTTTTAAGAAAGCCAGAAAGTCGCAAGCCGTGATTTTATACGAAGTTTCTCTACCAGATAAAATACTTTTCTTTGCTAATTGGTCTACATGTTCATTATTTTCTAAACCTATATGTGCTTTAATCCAAACAAAGACCACATTTTTGCCCCTTGTTACTAACTTTTGTTTGATATCCTTAATTTTGTAAATATAAGGGCAACTGTACGTATTTGGCAATCCCGGTTTCCCAATAGAGGTCAAAACTGATAAAGAATCCGATAATATCACTATATGATCCGAGCTACTTTCTGTTGCATAAAGTAAGGCCTCATATATTGCAAGAGTTTCCGCTGTAAAAATAGAGATCTGGGAGTTTAACTTAAATGTATGTTCTATTCGTTCCAACGGTACAAAAAAAGCACATCCAGTGCCGTTTGATGATTTGGAAGCATCAGTATATATAACGACGGAGTTTTTGAATTCTGATAATATTGAGTGAATAATCTGTCTGTTTATGTGTATATTGTCACTATATTTTGGTACCATGATATCTGTATTTGCACAATATGTTGCATATGAAATGTTGTGAAGTGTATACGTAGCTTTATCTATCTCTTTTATTGCTTCCATATTATGTTGCAGAGCTTCGCAGACTAAAGGCGATTTCTTTTTTTCCCAGTATTTAGTAGACAAATCATAGCAATTCAAAGTCAAGATCTTTGTGTATAAGGATTGATTTTTTATATATGTCTTTACCAGAAATTTTTCGGACAGGAAGTTTCGTCTGATATTTAAAGGTGGTTCCAAGGCTTCCAAATACAAGGGTTGAATTGGTGTGGACTTCATAGCACCTAAACATATACGTAAAGCTGAATTGTGTATTACGTTAATTTTATTTAGCAATACATTACTGGCTGATCCATAAAATATGCTTCCGTAATCAAGAATGGAGCGGATATACGCTCTGTAGAATAATAAATTTACATCTACGTCAGCACCCCACCACGTTTTATTAATCGATTTAAGGAAATTTATTCCCTTGTTGCATTTGTTTAACATATCCTCAATATGATCCTTCCAAGTCAAATGTTTGTCAAGTGTCATCCCTAAATATTTGACATTACTTTTTAGTGGATATTGATGCTCTCCTAATTTAATTATTTGATCGTTAGGTTTATAATGTCTAGTAAAAATGCAAACCTGAGATTTATTGCAAGATAATTCAAAATTGTTTTTATGGAGCCATTTTTGAAGTAGCTGATAGATACTATCCAAGTTTTTAATTGCTGTTTGATATTCTTTGTGTTCTGTGTAAATGCAGAAATCATCTGCATATTGTATGAGGTTGAAGGGTATGTTATTTATTTTAATATTGTACAAGTCCGCTACATACATATTAAACAGGAGAGGGCTCAATACAGAACCCTGAGGTAATCCTTTGTTTACGATTCTGGGACCTATGAGCATTTGTTCTTTTCTTAAATAAACTAATCTGTTTGAGTATAGATTAACAATACTAGCGGCAAATTGGGCTGGAATTTGAAATATTCTTGTCATTTTTTCTTTAAGTGCTATTAAACACACAGAGTCATAAGCACCTTCTATGTCAAGAAATAATGCTGGTAAGTAATTGTTTCGGGAATAATTGTTTTGAATGTCTACAACTAGGGTAGCCAATGCATCCAAAGTACCAAAACCTTTCCTAAATCCGTATTGATCTTTGGGTAGAAGGTTCTGCTCTAGTAACCACCATTCTAACCTAGCCTTAATTATCCTCTCTAGAGTTTTTTGTACACAAGATAATAAAGATATGGGTCTGTAAGCTTCAACTAATTTTAGATTTTTCCCAGGTTTGGGTATAGGAATGACAATAATATGTTTGAAGGCTGAAATGTTAGAACCTTCTCTAATTATCTGATTAAAAATATTTAGAAGTAACTCTTTTGCATTATTTGGTAAATTCAGTAGCATAACATATTTGATTTCATCATAACCAGGAGAAGTGTTAGGACGATCACTAAGGGCACAGTCCAATTCTAGCATTGTAAATGGTTTTAAGAGAAAATGACTATGATTCGGATTGAATAACATCAAATCTTCATGATTGTTCACATATGGTGGTGCAATTTTGTCCAAAAACTCTTCTGTCCACGAATCTTCCAGTGGTAATGGAGCATTGACCATTTTCCTGTTCATCCTTTTCGCTTGATTCCAAATCGAGGTAGGCGATGTTTGTTTATTTAATTTTGAGCACCAATCAACCCAGCTTTGTTTGGCTTTTGATTTCAATAATTTCTTAGCGTGAGCACTTGCTTGTTTACATTTAATAAAATTTTCAACTGATGGATCTTGCTTGTATTTTATTAATGCATTTTTCCTTTCTGCAACAATTAGATCACATTCTGCATCCCACCACGGTGAAGGAGTCCGTTTTTTACACTTAAAGGGTTTATATTGGCAAATACATTGTGTGGAAGCTTTATTGATACAGTCTAATAAAGTATTATATTTTTCTTCAGCATTTGGGGATATAGGTCCACTTTCATTTAACATATTCTCGATTATTTCAGCGTACATATCCCAATTGGCTTTCTTAATATTCCATTTACTTTTGGGGTATATGGTCTCATTAATAACTCTTGAGTATTCGAGTTCTATTTTTACAACAAAGTGATTTGATCCAAGTGTATCAGAATCTACAGTCCAAAATGTCTTAGCAAAAATGGAAGGGGAACAAACCGTAATATCAATCATAGAATCTGAATGTCCTGGATTTCCTTGACAAGTAGGTTGACCGTTATTCATCACAATAAAATCAAGGTCCTGTAGGGTCTCTACAATTTGATCGCCAATATTATCATTTTTTGATGATCCCCAGAGCGCATTGTGGGCATTCATATCACCCCCAATAACGCAGGGGTGCTTCACTTGGGAAAATAAGTTTTTCCAATCTTCTATTCTGGTTTTGGTTTTTGGACATCTATACACAGAGAGAAAACTTAAGTGAGTATTATCGTAATTAATTTTAATACCACAGGCAAGCAGCTCTTTATTGAAGTTTTTATTTAATTTTAATATTTCAAAACGGATACCCGTTTTTACCAAAATAGCGACACCAGCAAAACCGTCTGCACGATCTTGACGAACAATATTATAACCTTTAAAATTATATACAACATTACTTTTGAACCAGGTTTCACTTAAAAGAACTATATCAACATCTTCTTTAGTAAGAAAATTGAGTAGGCTGTTTTTATTTGCAACAGCTGATCTAGCGTTCCATTGCATAATTTTAAGTTTAGTGTTTAAGGCCATAAATTTAAGTACTTTTAAAAATATCCTCGAGAACAGTATACAAACCCTTAGCTAACAAATTATTATCCAGTGTTTTTACATCC